CAATATTACTGTTTGACTGTATTTTTGATCAAAGAAATGCAGTCTTGGTGAGCATGAAAGACTTTGTATGGCCTTATTTAAGTGACTTTATTCACAAACCACTCATAAACATAATTTTCTTAAAATTACAAACTTTTACATACATGCTGCTCACATATTATTGTAGCAGAGTTTGTGCTCAATACAGTGAAATCAAACTTTAGCCATGAAAATGTCACAGTATAGAAATAGCCATAAATGTCAGGGCATGTCAAAACACAGAAAACACCTCAGACCCCAGAGGGTTAAAAAAGATTTCACACTTTTGAACGGTAGTGTATATCTATGTCAGTTGTTTTGGAAAGAGGGTTTTAGCTCTGATACCCCTTTTCCACCAACAAGAACCGGGTGCTGGTTCAGAGCCAGAGCCAGAGCTGGTTCGGAGTTGGTTCGACTGACAAGCTTACTAAGAACCGGTTTGCCTTTCCACCGGCTAGAGAGCCACAACAGAGCCAGATCTTACGTCACTGCATACGTCTCATGTTGCCCAGCAACGCTAGTGCGGTAGCGCCAAACACAAATACGCCAGGCTTGTTCGAGATGCATCGGCTTCTCGCAGATCGATCGCCGCATGACATCAAAGCACTACGAAAGCGATCCAAAAGCACAAGGAGTCGTATGATCTCCAAACACTCCCGCAGCTCCGATCGGTCCGCGCCGCTCCGATGCATCTCGAACAAGCCATCAACAATAACGGACGTTGCGTTACTATGGATGCTCATGGGTTTGCAAAAATACATCGGAATCCAACGCGTTTGTGCAGCTCGCCGTAACTTACATAGACGGATATTATAATCAAGCTGCTATTAGCTCGACTAGCTGCTTTTTAAAAATGGCGGTCACAAGTTTCTATTCGTCTTGTTGGTCACGGTAACCCCGCCCCCAGCCCCTGACGCAAGCGGTTCTTACTTGGCTCTGTTCTAGTGCTGCGTTCCAGGCAGGTTTTTGAGCACGTAAATTACGACTTCAAACCACGACTCACGACTTTGTAGCATTCCAGGCCAGTCACGCCAAACTACCTGAGCGCAATATACATACTTATTTTTTCAGACACATAACATTGTAATACATAATCGTGTGTATATACATACTTATTGTTTCAGACACATAACATTGTAATACATAATCTTGTGTGTATTATTATCATTATTATTATATTATTATTAATTTGACTGCAACGTTATATTGTCCTAAAGTGTATTCTCACTGTGTACCGCCTGCAGAAACACTGCATCCGTAGGGGCTGCCATTGTTGTTTTGTATGGTTTTGCGGGCTATGTGACGTCAGAACTCGTAACTGGGAGTACATCGATCTAGTACGAGTTCACAGGTGGGAAGTCACGGGTTTGACTGCCGTTCCAGTGCACTTTCACGGGTATAAGGTTGGAAAAACACGGGTTACAGGTTGCCTGGAACGCGGCATAGACCAGCAATGATTTGGTGCTACTTAAGAACCACTTTTCCTGGTTCGGAGCTGGTGCTTTGCGTGTGGAAAAACAAAGAACCGAATTGAAACTAGGCTCTGGCTCCGAACCAGCACCAGCTCTGCCTTGGTGGAAAAGGGGTATGACAGTGTTCAGTCAGAACTGGTCTGCCTGTCTTTGCATCCACTCTAATCTCAGTCGACACAAAAGCCAACCAGTCAGCTCTGCTTTGAGACTATTAGTGTTGTGCTCTAGTCCTGCACTGATAAGAACCCGATAAAGCACCTCATGTGTGGACAGGGGTCACAAGGTCTAAAACATCCCTTTTCCAGGAATTTAGATTTTTTTTTAATAATCAGTTACTATATCAGTATATATACCGGTATATATATATATTAAAAAAAAGCATACTAGGAGGCACTAGTGTGGAGGTGTGTTTGTGTGTGTGTGTGTGTGTGTGTGTGTGTGTGCGTGCGTGCGTGTGTGTGTGTGTGTAAAATGATTCAATGTTAAACTAAGATCAATCTGTTTATTCTTTCCTTATTTGATGGTTTTGCTGCGGGTCATAAGATGAGCCATACATCTTTTTTGCCCACATGTCCATGACATTCTCAGGCACTTTGGCGGACAGAGGCAGGATGTTTAAACTAAAATGTATGACTCGCATTTAGTCTTCCACAAATCAATAGTAAGCTCCTTTGTTGATGAATGATGAAATTACAATGTTATTTGTTGTGCTAGCAAGGCATTCTCCACACACCCTATTAGGTTTAATTCTCATAGTCTTCCTCCCGCTGCCTGATCTTCCCACCATCACGGGAAGCTCTTCCATGCTGTGATTCATCAGCGCCCCTTTCTTCACCCACTGAAGCCAATGAATGGTGTTCTGGTTCCCATGGCGATGGCTATTTTTTCCTCGGATTAAGTGGCATTTGCTTGTACCTTTTAGCCCATCATATCCTAAGGGTTATACAGTAATGAACCGAGGACAATGCAAATGGGGGAGGCAGAGACAGGGGGTGGCAACAGGGCAACTTTTGGGATCAAATGAAGCAGGAATGTATCTTTTACACTGACCTTGGATAATTATCAAAAGAAACTTAAAGAGATCTCCACTGCCACCTAATGAACTGAGTATAATATAAAGAGAACAGAAGAACTGGACACAGCTGGCTACTTTTGATAATGTCTGAGGAACAAACAGTTTAACAATATGATTGAAAGGGAAACAGTAGGTGTTTTTACTGTTTTGCTTGGAGTTACAAAAAGGCATTTAGAGTTTGACAGAGGCCATGTATGTACTGTTAAGCAACATCTAAAAATCATAAATGAATGCTTCCTGCTGGCAAATTAAAGCTAAAGATTTGGGCTTTTGCACAGTACTGAATGTCTTTAATTTGATTCGCTCAGCATGATTTACATCAGATTAAAACAACAAGGGTCGGACTAATGTTCTCGCTGTTTAAACCATGCACTTATTTAGCAGTTAGTTTCTAGTAAAGTCCATCCAAATTACCATTAGCTATTTTTTTTTCTTGCCAAATCCAATTTTACTTTTGGCTCGTGTTGAGCATTCATTTGGACCTTTATACCACAAAAAGGTTTTCAGTCAGCAGATTGAGATTTTAGTTTAGTTATAAACTACAACTAATCATATCAGCAGTAATACAAATAAAAATATATTTTTTAAAAATATCTTTATTTGTTATATACTCAAACAATGATAATACAATTTCAGCTCTGGCCCCCTGGTACCCCCTTAAATCATTTGTATGCAGCATCTATTTGACTATTATGTACACAGAATTTTAATTGAAAATATTTTTGCTGATCCTTTGCAACCTCTTTATGGCTGATTGAGCCAAGAAGTATTAAACTCTATACAATACACTACTAATTATTTCTCAAAGTTCACAGGGATGGCACAACGGGATTTACTTAGAGTGAGGATGAAGATTTTTCAGCTTATTTCTGTGCCAATTAATAAAGTTAAATTGTGAATTTAATGAATGTCCAGCAGGTGTTTATGACACACCAGGAGTATTCTCCCCAAAACAAATAGTAGTATTGCTCAGTGTAAATAGGTCTTTAGATTTGCACATTTAATTCAGAATTGAATTACTTCTGCATATGCATTCAGCACAGAAGGGATAGTTCAGAAAAAATGAAAACATATTTTAAAAATGTCTTTTTTATTATTTCATTTTGAGTAAACTATACCTTTAAGACCTGTTGTATATTTCAGCAACATCATACAAAAATGTATATTTTACAAATCTGTCTGATTATTATTCGGTAGTGTAAAATGTCCACCGATTGTGATTAACACCATCTTCATTGCTACTTGAATGCCCTCTGCATAGACCAAGGAGATTTTAATAAAACAAAATTAATAAAAATTTTATTAAAAAAAATCATATTTAGTGTGTTTAATCTGTTAAGAGAATGACAATTACCTCAGATGGCTATTAGGCTTGATTGTAATTTAACAGCATAGGTCATTGTGTGTTCAACAGAATTAATATGTATTTGTGTGGAAATCTAATCATGCTGTTTTATTAATCACAATGTCTGGGCGAAGTGCATCCACTCACTTATCAAATAATGATATTTTAACTCTTTCAACTATCTATTGACATTGTGGAACATAAGTAGCTTGAACACCAGCAATCTTGCTGCTTGAAGGGAGGGTTATGAAAATTCTGTCATTACTTCATGTCTTTTTCCCAACCTGTATGAATTTCTTTTTTCCTTATTTAATTTTGAAGACTTGTTCTGGTCACTCTTTGCAACGCAATTACCATAAACCGGTACTGAGTTGTTAACAAATAATTCAGACCAGTTTAAGAACTGTAAACTGATTCATTGAAAAGATCCGATTCAAGTCTGACATCACATCTTCTCTCATGAACTAGGCAAGTAGAGGCACTTACCAAACTTTTCAGTGAATAAGGATTTCTTTCCAAAATATGGCTATTGTATGGAAGTGTGGCGGCATGCATATTTTTGTTTTATCACATTGAAATCAAAAATTCTCTTTTTAGAAAGCAAGTCATACGGGTTAGCGACGACATGAGAGTGAGTAAATGATTACCGAATTTTCATTTTTGAGAGAACTATCCCTTTTAAGGCTGAACTTTAAAAAAGAGTGTGAGACACCATACACTTAGCAATACTTAAGAGACATGGATAATCGACGCAAGAGCAGCATCAGTGATTATTTTTAAGATTAAAGTTTCCGAGACAGCTGTTTGAAATCTCTTTTCTGGGCCACAGGTTGTACGCGAGAGGCATACGTCTCAAGGTTAGGTGTCAGCATCAAGATGGATGCTGTGTATAATCGAACCAAACTTCTCATTTACTTGTTCTCTCTCTCTGCCTTTGTCTTCCTTGTGCCTGTGATGTGCGTTTTATTAGCATGCTCTGGGCTAGAGACAAATGCTGCAGTTGGATGCCTGGCACTGGGCTGCACTCAGGCATCCATCACGAGTGAAGGGGGCGCTAGGGGTCACTGGCTTATGCTCTATGTAATTACAGATGGATACCCACGAGATGAAATGATTTACAAGTGGAGGAGGAACTCAGTGCAGGCGGCTGATCAGAAGTCATGGAGACTTTACCAGTTTGACTTCATGGGCCTGAGGAACACCACAGATATAATTAAGACAACTGCAGGTAATTTTCTACTCTGATCCAAACAATTGATCAAATGAAAGTATAATAATCAATTAAGTATGATTATTTATTGGCTATTGATAAATATAATTTTTCGAAGGCTGATGTAAACTACCATTCAAAAGTTCGGGGTCACTTTTTTTTTTTGTTAAAAAGTCTCTTATGCTTACCATGGCTGCATTTATTTGATAAAAAATACAGTGAAAACTGTAATATTGTGAAATATAATTACAGTTTAATATATATATGTTATATATTTATCATTTATTCTTGTGATGGCAAAGCTGAATTTTCAGCATCATTACTCCAGTCTTCTGTGTCACATCTTCAGAAACAGTTTTATTATTATCAGTGCGCAGTTTAGCATTTTTTGCAGGAAACATGATATATTTTCCTTCATGATTCTTTGATTAATAGAAAGTTCAATGAACAGCATTTATTAAAATAGAATACTCGTCCAACACGGTATGAATAAAAATGATCAGTATAATATCTCCCTTTAATTTACATTATTAAATTATGCTAAACTAGTGTTGACCTATTTTCTCAAGCAACTATGTCCTGGATTCATCACACCGTTGTATTTTCTGGTAGACAAACATTTGCATTTGTTTTAATGCTGGTTTTATGCTCTATAGAAGCGACCAACCAATGATATATGAGGTTGTTTCGCTTGACAGTAAATGTATAGAATTTTTGTTATAGTATGTGAACCTCCTGCATCTTAATGGACCCCAGAAGATTGTAAGCTGTTAAAATGTCACTTCAGTTAAAGCTCTACTGTACGGGCATCATTGAATGAGATTTTCTCCGGGCTTAGTAAATCTTAGTGGGAACATGGTCAATGGCTGAATACAATTTTTTATATCCTAATATTCCTATACCAAATGTGTTATACAAGGATGATGCAAAATGGCATTTTCTGGGGCAAACTGATGTTACATTGAAGTTATATAGTATTTTTTCCTATTTTCAGAGTAAGATAAAAATTGCACCAAGCTTTATTTTTATTTAAGATACTGATAATATTAACAAATGAATATTGCATACAGTACAGTAGCGTTACCATCAGTTTTCAAATTATCAAAGTGAGAACTGCAGGACAGCATGAATACAAATATTGTTAAGAAAAAAAAGCAATTAGACTATTTTTCACATATTGCAAACTATTTTGCCTGTTAAAACAAAATTATTTTCTATCATTTTACACACTCTCAGTGTTTACTCTTGGCCTGTGAAAATGGATAGAAACTGTCTATCACTGTATAAAGGGGAAAAAAAACACTTGACACTTCTGAAGGCTAAGAAAAGTAAAACGTTTTGTTTAGGCCGCCAGACAAAACAGTAATACTAACTGAAAGACAAAATTCTGAATATCAGTGCAACATGAAAGAAGCAAGAAGCTTTCCAACATTTCAAAACTTCAGATTAGGCCAAGTATAAAGCCTGTGAAATTTAAGTGAGTAACCATACTGTGTATTAGCATCGCTAATAGCATAGCTCAAGAATCTGCTCAATTGAGAGTTTTTGCATATTAGCTTCACCCCTAGATTTGTCTCTACTATAACAAATGAATACTTAAAAGTACCCTTGATACAATACAATGATAGATACAATGTCAATAAAGAAAGGAGAAAAATTCTGAAAGATTTGAATTAAATCAGAGCTAAGATATTTTCAAGGATGGTCAGTCTCTTACAAAATACAAAAATTAAAACTGGCAGGAAGGCTTTTCAAAGAAAAGATAAAGGCAACATGACCTTCACATTTCAGAAGTGTTATTGGTTTGTTAATGACTGCATGAATAAAGTTTAGTCATGAAGTACAACCATGTATTTGAGACACCATTGGTTTCTTCTTCTTTTTAGAGATGTTTCATTGGCAACATCTTTTTCTCTTTTAGGTGACTATGTGGTGATGACTGTATATTTTGACCTAAGCAGAAGAATGGGATACTTCACAATTCAGACCTATATCCCCTGCATACTTACTGTGGTGCTCTCTTGGGTCTCCTTTTGGATAAAAAAAGATGCAACTCCAGCCAGAACAGCACTAGGTACATTCAGTAAATACAGGCACCTGATCCTTGTGTGATTCATTCATGTGTGGCTTGATGTTTGTTTCTTTGGGGGGAAAAAACTTATAAAAAAAAACTCAGCAGTATTAAAGATACTTTGACATACAGTATTTTCAAAGTAACTTTGGCCATGTACACACTGCAAAGGTTTAAGATTTAAAGTGCCCCTATTATTCTATTTTAAAGGTTCCTAGTTTTGCTTTGGTTACATTGTAAATGTAACACAAATGCGTCAGTCATGGCCTTAACGCAAGAGTTTACAGATGGTATGAGATGTTAATACTGACCGTGTTATGTAGGATGATTAGATTTCTTTTAATTTTATTATTAAATTAACTTGTTTACTTGCTCAAATAATGCGCTTGGCCAGCTACAGAGAAATTGGTAGCCCTGCAATAAACAAGTGGTGACGTCACTCACTACACACATTCTACCAGCACGGTTCAGCACAGTTCACCATGCTGAGAATTCCGGGTAGAGAACAGTTTGATGGCATTGTTCAAGTGGAAATAGAACTGGAACTGTGCCTTACCGTTCTTAGATTGTTCGGCTCGACAGTGAAAAAGCCGCTTATAACTCCATTTATCGTTGTTCTTTGAATTTTTCATACCTTTTACATTCATAAACAGCAATATTACACACTAAATAAAAGGTAATATTCAAACATGCATAATAGGGGCACTTTAATGCTATAGTAAATACCCTAAATTATCCTTCAATGTGTATGACATACAGAAGTCATTCACAAAATTTTGAATGGTTGATAAATGTTTTGCTTTATTTACAATCCAAGATGACATATTATGAGAATGAAAGACATTATAAAAATGTTTTTATAAAAAGACTATCTATGTGTTTTCTTTTTAGTGTGTCCTTTTGTTCACATTTATTCTTGTTTCATTACAGCGCTTCATCTGTTTTTTGTTGGCTTTACTCATTTCTTTTATAGTTTCCTGCTTTGATTAAGTCCATGTCCTGTCCTGGTAAATGTCACTTTTGTCAAGGTAATTTTTCTTTTTTCATTTTTCATTGTTTCATTTAATTTATCAAATAATTAGACCTTGATCATGTTTAAAGTATCCCCATATTGTTCAATGAGAGGTCTGCATGTATCTTGCAACATCATTTAGAAAGGCTTTTAATCTGTCTCATGACGTAGCTTGATTATCTTGCCACTCTTAGGCTGTCTTGTTCGATTACCTCGAGCACACAACAGATAAGTGTGGCCTGAGATGGTGTTCCCACTGAGTATTCTCAAGCTAACAAGCATGAGCTGTGATGGTCATAAAAAAGGGATCATAGACTGACATTAATTGGGTATCTACACTGATCCTATAGCTAACTGTAAGAAAAGGCCCTGTGCAATCTATGTGTGTAAGAAGGAAATAAACTGGCAACATACTCTGAGAAGAAAAAGAAGGATGAATGCAATTAATCTGTCTGACAAAAGAAGTCATTATACCTTCAGTGGAAAGAAAGGGAGTAGGAGAAAAAGTAGAGATTTGCTTTACAGGCACAGGTTGATCGATGAAGTCCAGAGAGAAAGGCAGCCAAGATAAAATGTGGGAGAGAGAGAGAGAGAGAGAGAGAGTGCTTGGGCTCACAGCCGTGGAAACGTCAGGTTAGAAAAGCATGTGACTAAGACAGAACCCATAAAAAATAGTGAGGGGTCAAGTATAGGGTGGTCAGTCAGTCTTTGAAGACATGAGCAACTTAATCTGAGAATGTATTGGAGATACAAAAAATTGTCCGTAGGTGTGAATGCGTGTGTGTGCACGAGTCACAAGCCATGTAGGGTTGGGGGGAAAGACCTGGCAACCTACCCCGGAAAAATAATTGGCAAGAAAACTATCATTAGACTATCATTTCAATCAAATTAAATATATAAAATAAAAAGAACCAGAAATAATACACACTACCAGTCAAAAGATTGGAGTCATGAAGATTTTTTATAATTTTACTCAGCAAGGATGCATTAAATTGATCAGAAGTGACAAAGACATTTATAATGATACAACATTTACTTGTAAATAAATGGGGGTTAGGGTGGAACAGGAAAATGATGTAGGGGAAGAATATAAAGTACCGAACAGCCCTAACAGCCGGTCTACATCATTACTAACTCTTTCAACGCTCAAACCAGCAGCCTGGGTACCAGGAAGTACCACATTACAGTTATTTGAACGTCCAGCCAGTTGTTATGTCATTCTTATCCACCGCAAAAGCTGATGAGAGAACTAATGAGGCTAAAATGGAGCTTAGCAGTTCAGGAAAGAGTGCCATTTTGAAATGCATATTTCATACACAGGCTTTTCCGACTCAGGCAGGCAGTCATTTAACTAAGTGCCACTGTAACAGAAGAAGTCAGTCTAACAGGTGAAGGTAATCACCGTGGCCAACAACAGCAGAGGAAAAAATTCTCTCTGAAATAGAAGAAGCTTGCTTGTTTCCATAGAAACCCTTGCAAAACAGGGGCACAGTCACTGGTTCTCTGAGGCAACTCTAAATGTCCATGCAAGAGTGGAGCTAAGAATGCTTCAAAGATTCTTGGTGTTTGTGTGGGTGGATTTTTTTATTTTATTTGCAGGTGTCTCTGTTCCTATGCAAGAGAAGGACTTCAGCATCTGGACAGGTGTCAAATTGAAAGGAAAAACAGCAATAAAGGCATATAATAGTGTTGTTTTATAAAGAATACTAATTTGCGGTAGTGTTGAATTATGGTGGTGGTTAAAAGTATTTCTCTTTTTCTTTCATATTGCCTGTTTTAAAGACCTGCCTATGTAGAGCAAGTCAATCACTTATGATGTTCTATTTTAGATAGGCAGCCAGTGTGGAAGCTCACTAGAACAAAGCAATTTTTTTTTATTCCTGTCCAACAACAACCAGTGCAATGGAGTTTTAGATGGAACTTAATCAGCTCTGCTCAGTGAAAAAGCATTGCATAATTAGCTTAGAGCCAAAAAATAACAATGTTTTGTATTCAGCCGAGATATCAAACTACATTTTACTCATGCTAACCATGTCAGCGTACGCTTTAGAATGATTTAGCTCATATTTTTCATTAGCAGGCATTTCCCTTGTGACCAGCTTTTCCATCTAATATCCTCTTCTGATTATGCAGGAATAACAACAGTATTAACCATGACAACGCTCAGCACGGTGGCACGGACATCACTACCCAGGGTCTCATACGTCACAGCAATGGACCTTTTTGTCACTGTCTGTTTCCTGTTTGTTTTTGCGGCTCTCATGGAGTATGCCACGCTTAACTATTACTCCTACAGTGCTAGCAAACCAACCTGCAAAAAGACAAAAAGATCGGTGAGTACCATGTTCTGCACGAACCAAGAGTTCATGCTGTTCTTCTTTTAGGAGAAAGCTATGCATCCTGTTCACACAATATATGTAAGGGATTTTTTTTTTCTTTGTTTCATTTTCTTGCTCTAGCCACCTGTCAAAGTTTCATGTCCTCCATGTACGTTAAAATGAATACGGAAATCTTTGTGGGCCATTTTTAATACAGTCAGAAACGAGAGAGAGTGAAATGATACAAGAGATATGGAAGTAGCAATTGAAGGGTTTAGCAGTAATAATTAATTATATATAAATATCAGGGGTGTTTCCTCCGAAGAGGCAATGGAGGCAGAGCCAACTCAAAAAAAGTGGAGGAAATAATCCACATTACAAAAATAAAACAATGCAAATATTACATAATGTGACATTACATAATGTGACATTATAAATCACTAGTTTTTCTAAAGTAACACTGTCCATACCCTCAGGTATTTGAGCCCATTGAGTTTTAACAGACCCCCTTAAGCGTGCGGTGGGGGGTAATTGAGAATGAATGGGTGGAAGTCACATGAGAGGAGGCAATACCTCCATCGCGCTATGATTGGATATTGTTGGAAATTATTGGTTCGTTCGATAAATTCTGCCTGTTTTTGTGCGCATTTGCGTATTCACAAATCGGTCTGAATTAACAAAATGATGTCGTTATTGGGAAGACTAATTAAAAAATAAGTAAACAAACTCACCCACTTAGATTCCACCGCTTTCAGTCATGTCAAAATCAAACTTAAAAATGGCCTGAAAACATGATGACTGGGGGGTTTTAGTGAGCAATCAGCTTGGGGAAATTAAAGGTACATCTTTGTGACAGACAGACAGACAGTGTTTACCGCTTGATGGCTGATGATCCAAAAATGATTGACTATTAAAAAGAACATCAGTTCACAAATAAAATATATTGTTTAGATTATTACTGCCTTATTATTACTTTGGAATAAATGTAAAAATACTTAACACTAACTTGATGAGATTTATACTTGGTTTTGATAAATAGAACATTAATTTCATTTTAATGTAAAAATACAAACTAGAATTGAATTTGGTTTCTTTTTTTATGTAATGTAAAGTAATGTTTATTTAACCCGGAAAATGTGCAACATTAAGTGTAACCGGGACACAAATTTACATTTGATATAAACCAAACAAGACTTTGCCTCCTCATTTCAGAGCACCACTGAATGCCACTGATAAATATATGTACACCACTGTTCAAAAATGTGGGGTCAGTAAGATTTTTTTTAAATGCTGCATTTATATGATAATTCTGTGAAATATTATTACAATTTAAAATAACTGTTTTATTTTCTAATATGGCCTATTTGAAACATGTATGCCTGTGATTGCGAAGCCAAATTTCAGCAGCCATTTCTCCAATGTCACAGTGTCACATGATCCTTCAGAAATCATTCTAATATGCTAATTTGGTGCTCTAGAAACATAATATATATATACACTCACCTAAAGGATTATTAGGAACACCATACTAATACTGTGTTTGACCCCCTTTCGCCTTCAGAACTGCCTTAATAGGCTTTATGCACAGCTTTACTACTTCCTGAACTTCAGCCAGCCCTTTGTTTCCTGTCTGTCATTATTGGACAAACTGATTAATCCAGGTGTGCCTGATTATTGTTACTGAGCCCAGGCACACCTGGATTAATCAGTGTGTCCAATAATGACAGACAGGAAACAAAGGGCTGGCTGAAGTTCAGGAAGTAGTGAAGCTGTGCATAAAGCCAATTCTACGTGGCATTGATTCAACAAGGTGCTGAAAGCATTCTTTAGAAATGTTGGCCCATATTGATAGGATAGCATCTTGCAGTTGATGGAGATTTGTGGGATGCACATCCAGGGCACGAAGCTGCCGTTCCACCACAACCCAAAGATGCTCTTTTGGGTTGAGATCTGGTGACTGTGGGGGCCATTTTAGTACAGTGAACTCATTGTCATGTTCAAGAAACCAATTTGAAATGATTTGAGCTTTGTGACATGGTGCATTATCCTGCTGGAAGTAGCCATCAGAGGATAGATACATGGTGGCCATAAAGGGATGGACATGGTCAGAAACAATGCTCAGGTAGGCCGTGGCATTTAAACGATGCCCAATTGGCACTAAGGGGCATAAAGTGTGCCAAGAAAACATCCCCCACACCATTACACCACCACTACCAGCCTGCACAGTGGTAACAAGGCATGATGGATCCATGTTCTCATTCTGTTTACGCCAAATTCTGACTCTACCATCTGAATGTCTCAACAGAAATCGAGACTCATCAGACCAGGCAACATTTTTCCAGTCTTCAACTGTCCAATTTTGGTGAGCTCTTGCAAATTGTAGCCTCTTTTTCCTATTTGTAGTGGAGATGAGTGGTACCCGGTGGGGTCTTCTGCTGTTGTAGCCCATCCACCTCAAGGTTGTGCGTGTTGTGGCTTCACAAATGATTTGCTGCATACCTCGGCTGTAAAGAGTGGTTATTTCAGTCAAAGTTGCTCTTCTATCAGCTTGAATCAGTCGGCCCATTCTCCTCTGACCTCTAGCATCAACAAGGCATTTTCGCCCACAGGACTGCCGCATACTGGATGTTTTTCCCTTTTCACACCATTCTTTGTAAACCCTAGAAATGGTTGTGCGTGAAAATCCCAGTAACTGAGCAGATTGTGAAATACTCAGACCGGCCCGTCTGGCACCAACAACCATGCCACGCTCAAAATTACTTAAATCACCTTTCTTTCCCATTCTGACATTCAGTTTGGAGTTCAGGAGATTGTCTTGACCAGGACCACACCCCTAAATGCATTGAAGCAACTGCCATGTGACTGGTTGATTAGATAATTGCATTAATGAGAAATTGAACAGGTGTTCCTAATAATCCTTTAGGTGAGTGTATATACACACATACAGTATATTATATAAACACAAACTTTTATGTTAAAAACGATTAATCAACTTGACAGCACTAATATATATATATATATATATATATATATATATATATACTGTATAAAGCAGTACATCGGTTAATGAAGTATTCACTCCCAATCCAAGTATATTGACATGTCAGGTAAGTCATTAGATCATTACTTTTACCCTATCAAATACATTAAATATTCATCCAATTTGTCAGAATAATGACTTTTCAGGTAGAATCTATTATTGCTGTACCTTTATAACATAGCGATGTACTATTACTATCAAATATATGCAGACAGAAGTCCCTTTCTGCATATGTGTTTGTTATAGGGGATCTCTCAAGATGGTATGGAAATATGATTTCATTAGGCTGATGTTGTTAGTCTTTGTCTATGTGTGTAATGTGATGCTAAATTATGGTTGAGCAAGCACGTCTTACTTTTTATTCATTGTGTTCCTCCGGTGGCGGTCTCCGCAGGTGAAATTTTCCCACTCTCTCGCCGATCACTCATTTTGATTAGATCTTATCTCTGCTGAGAAGCACGGATAATTACCATCGCAATTTTACACGAAACAAATATTACCCTATAGGTGATCTTACATAGATTATCTTTCAGTTCTGTAATTACCATGCTTTGCTAGTTATGTTACTATAATGAGACAAATAACTGGAAATAAGTGGTAGAATACTATTGGAGATTTTTCCTTGTGTGGTCTAAAAGGGTTTAGAGAAAGAATTTAGACAACCATGCTCAGATTTTGAGGTCATTGTACCTGCCCGTGAGAGAGACTGATGCTGCACTTGACTTGCCCACTGAAGGGAACGCTGTTAGTTCAAGTGAGTGGGAATCTCTTAGAAGGCACCATGATCTTATGCTTTGATTGACAGCCCACTCTGAAGGATTTGTTTTGCTCATGGCATATATTAGATGCACACGCATACACTTTGACTACAGTTTTGTTGTTCGATTGGATGAAATATTGTGTACAGGACATGCAAAACACATCCAACTGTATGACTCCAAGGTTTTTTTATTTTGGATGCGTATTGCAAAATGATAGCCCTTCAGATTCTAAAAGGATATTGTTTTTGTCCAACAGAACTACTCAGTACTGGCTGTGGGTCCTCCTCCCACAGTTATCACGCTCAACAACTCCATGTACTGGCAGGAGTTTGATGATGCCTGTGTTTATGAGTGCCTGGATGGAAAAGACTGCCAGAGTTTCTTCTGCTGCTACGAAGAGTGCAAAGATGGAGCGTGGCGAAAGGGCCGTCTGCATATAGACATTTTGGAACTCGATGCATACTCTCGTGTCTTTTTTCCCACCTCTTTCCTACTGTTCAATATTGTCTACTGGGTAGGCTACTTGTATCTTTAGCGGTCCCACACACCTCACGACGCAAAGGACTTGACTTTTGGTTCTGTCAGAGCATAAACAAAGAATAGACTGAACCAGGACTTTCAAGGTACTGTAAAAAAAGAGCGGATACTGGTTTTCAGAGTTGAGTTGTGGTAGTACAAGGACTTCTCCAGAAGAGAGATGAAAATGAAAAATGAGACTACAGAAACCGAAAGCTACAGCAGATCTATCAAAACCCTTAAAACCAGGCTGTTTTTATATGGTCAGGAAGGATATTTCCACAAGCTCTTTAAGTGGTTGCAATTCTCTGGCAGAGATCTTTGCCTTTTGTTCTTCAGGTACCAGGGGGAAGAAAAGATTCACAACGTTCCTCTCATACAATCTCATCTTTTTATGGGTGAGAGAGCAACTGGAAGAAGTCAAGGTGCGAACAAATCCTTAGGCCAAGTCAGCGTGAGAAAAAATGCCTTGCATAGCATGTGACCCTCTGACTTTTGGTGTCTCTTACAATCCTGGTAGATCATTCACATGAATGGAAACCTGTCATCTAGCCATCAGTCAAAACCAGACCGGCTTTCATGTAAGCGGAGCTTTCAGAGCCATCTATAGTGCCTTCCACTGGAGGAGAAGCCATCAGGCAGAGAAATCTTAGAAATGATGGCAGGAGCATCATCTGGTCTTGACTGACCGCTGATGGTTTTGTTTTGGAGTTTATTCAACCTTTAGTTATAGTCACCCATTATTTGAATGCATTCAACATGTCTAAACTCATTGTCACTGCATGTTATAGTATTAAGCTCTACCCTGAATCAGCACAATAATGGCAAGAGAGTAGAACCATTTTGGAAGATTTGGAATATTAATTAGTATGTAGATTGCAAATGTTTGCTTATATTTCTAGATTTTTATAGCATAATTTTTCCACACAAAAGAAAGGTTATTTAAATATGAAATTAATATATTATACAGTAGACTATATTTTATTTTGAAATGCCTAAAGTCTATTAGCATCAGTTTATTAGTTAAAAAGTGCATGCATAGAATGTATCATAAGTTCCATAGACTCTCACCCTTCAGTCCAGTTGGCAAAATAGTTGCCATCCATGTCTACGCCAAGTACAGCAAACGCAACACACCGCCCAAAGGAAATCAAGGAAAGTGAGTGTCTCTGGATCTTTATGGACACATTTGCATTTGCAGATTTGATTATTCTGTCTAGGTCTTGCATCTACAGACCCATCCTATGATATATCGCAATACATTTGACACCTGTAAGTTCATTTGAAAAGTACAATTCTGTCATCCTTTATTCACTTTCATATACATTACATTTTCCACTCACAGAATACAAACGTTATTTAGCAGAATGTCTAGCCTGCATTTTTCCCAAAAATAACATTGGGTTGTGCTCAAAAAACATTTTGGCTACACTTTATGTTAAGGTGACCGCGTTACAGTGTAATTATACATTTAAGTACTGAGTAATAATAATTAACATGTACTTACTATAGGGTTAGGATTGGGGTTTGTTTAGGGTTAGTTGCATGAAATTATGCATCATTTATAGTTATAACTATAGTAACTATGTGTAACAAGGGCACTATAAAATAAAGTGTTTCCAAAAAATCATACAGGTTTGGAGCAACATGAGGGTAAGTAGATAATGAGAGATTTTATTTATTTATTTATTTTTGAGTGAACTATCCATTTAATAATAAGATGAAGTGTCAGAATAATACCCACAATCAAAACAGTTATCAGTAACACCGTACACAAATGTTTCAAATGATTTCATCATTGAAATAACAATGAACAACAGTTTTTTCAGCCTTTATTAATCTAGGTTAATGTCAGTTTATACATATACGGATGTTCATTGTTAAAGGAGAACTCCGGCGCAAAATGAACCTTTGGTCTAATTACACATTGTTACCTAGTCAACCGTTATCTGAGATTTGTTTTCATGATTATCGAATGTAAATAGTTTTATCTCTAAAAACAGTTTAGCCTATAAAGCTAGTATAACGCTAGTATATTGGGCATAGTGTAATGACAAATAAAAAACGCTTGTTAATACCACTAACAAGGCTCAAAATAGCCCCACACTAGCACGGTAGCATAATGAGGGTCCCTACCTTCAAACCGAAGCATTGAGAACTTTGTCAGTGTCCAGACAGTTTAATAAGAAGATATTTTATACATACAGTCAACTTCGCGTATACAGGCAGAAGCCATCTTTGAAAAACAGTCTCTACCAGTTGATCTACGAACGCCGATCCAAGTGCGCTGGTGAGATGTGAACGAGCTATAAGTTGTGATAAGGTGAGCGCAAACAGCAGGCTTGGATCAGCGTTCGTAGATCGACTGGTAGAGACTGTATTTCAAAGATGGCTTCTGCCTGTATACGCGAAGTTGACTGTATGTATAAAATATCTCTTATTAAACTGTCTGGACACTGACAAAGTTCTCAATGCTTCGGTTTGAAGGTAGGGACCCTCATTATGCTACCGTGCTAGTGTGGGGCTATTTTGAGCCTTGTTAGTGGTATTAACAAGCGATTTTTATTTGTCATTACACTATGCCGAATATACTGGCGTTATACTAGCTTTATAGGCTAAACTGTTTTTAGAGATGAAAACTATTTACATTCGATAATCATGAAAACAAATCTCAGATAACGGTTGACTAGGTAACAATGTGTAATTAGACCAAAGGTTCATTTTGCGCCGGAGTTCTCCTTTAATTCATGTTCATTCATAATACATTAACTTGTGTTCATTTATGCAACTTGAAATGTTAAAAATGAGTTTGTTTACATATAAATTAACATTGATTATATTAACTTTGATTAATAAATGCTGTTAAAGGGATAGTTCGCCCAAAAATTCAGTCATCATTTACTCACCCTCAAGTTGTTCCAAACCTGTATGAGTTTATTTCTTCTGCCGAACACAAAAGAAGATATTTTGTAGAACGGGAATTAAACAGTTGATGCACCCCATTGACTGTTTAATTTATCTTCTCTTGTGTGCATCAGAAGAAAGAAATTCATAGAGGTTTGGAACAACCTGAGGGTGAGTAAATAATGACAGGATTGTGAACTTTTTGGGTGATCTATCCCTTTAACTGTATTGTTCATTGCTAGTTCATGATACCTAATGCATTAGCGAAAGTTAGTGAATTGGAATATGTTGTAAAGTCATACCAAACATTCTTCAGCACACTGCAGTAAGGAACTCTACATAATCACTGTGCTCATTACCAAACTGTAATTCACAATAAGAGTTGTTACTGTGTTGCCTTAGGGTTGCCTGCACAGAGATACTGTGAGATGATCCATTAGGAGGGATCAAATGGATTGATATAAGGTATCTACTTCAAATTATAGTCATTACCAAAGGATTCACACTAGCTGAAAACATTCTGAGGCAATCACAAGCTATTTTCTTTTCTTGATTAATTATTTTGTAGTCATATCTTCATTATCATTATTGTCTCATAGGTAAATGTTAATGTGTGATGCACACCAGAGGCAATATTATTGTTATTTTCTTTCTCAATGATTGTAGCATTTTTTTTTCCGTCTCCATCTGGTACCACTGTTGTGGGCTGTGGATTCTACCAGCTTCAGCTCTAATACATCTGACCTACAGAAGGTATCAACATTTAATCAATCAAATCCTGTCCACCCGCTCTCTGTAACTTTAATCTTTGGAGTCAGGTTTTTATTTGATTTCATCTTTGACACTTACTCATTTTAGTTTGTGCCAAGCGTCTTTGTAAGATAATATTTAGGATTGGTAACGATATTCTGAATAACCAGAAATGTGCTGTGATTTTCTGCCATGCCGCTTCTCCTCTTGCATTTCATGACGCTGTAGTGATTTTTTTCTGTTGTGGCTTCTTGAAGGTGTCAATCCACTATTGACCTGTTTTGCGATTCTGTTTGATGATAATCTGTGAGTGCTTCAACATGTTGTTATTGCGGCTGTTAATTCAGTTTGACGTACAATAATTATTAGCTGTTCATTTATAGTGGTGCTAGAACTTCAATCCATCATTTCAGTTCAACCATCATTCGAGAGCAGCGCTTATTGCTCTTCACACCCAAGGAATCAGACAAATCTGACTTTGCCAAAAGTTCATGTTAGTTACCTAAAGCCATATGCTGGAATTAAATCCAATTATACTGCTTTTTATAGTGGCCTAATAATGGCATTCATTTCAATGACAAAGTACTCCGAGGAAAGAAATAGAAAATCTTGAGCATTAGTCCTTGATGTATTTCAAGTTTATTTGGTCACGTTTTGTCATTGGGTGTAGACTACTGGATATCATTCTTCACCATTCAAGCCAGGGGATCGTTTCAGCGCAAGAAATATAATTTTTAGTTGGTTTGATTTTTTGTTTCCAAGGAGAAAAAGATTTACACATTCAAGTGACCTTTAATAGGGTGGATATAATATGCTATCCTTAATGATATATAACGTGCATTCACTGAACACTCAGTACTCTAATGAACGTGATTTCGCCAAATATGTTCCTGGATCAACATCTTTCTTTATCTTGGAACATCATTCTAATCAATCAATCAGATTTGAGGGATAAGTTTACAGTTTATGTCAAGATTAGGCTTACAACCAGGGTTTGGTGCTTCTACATCAGTGTTATTCACCTATCATTTCCCATTGATTTGAAGGATAAGTTAGTGTAGGGTTGGGTTTAGGGGTAGGGACATGGATATTGTTTGGACAAAATTTTCAGAGAGGAATGTTGTTCCAGGATCAACAAAATGATGTCTGTCTTGGCAAAATCACGGTGACCCATATAGCATCTTTCCCACAGTTCAGCCACTAAGCAGACCAGATAAATCTGGTTTTAAAAGCGGTCATTGCTTCCTTTCTTTTCTTTTTTCTTGCTTTCTTTATTTTTTACATCAATAAAAAATTTACTTGTAATTAATAAAACCTTCAAAGTGCAAGTCGACCGTTAAAGGCTGAATGCCAAAGAAATCTCATTCACTGATCTGCTATGAAGATGCCTCCCCCCATTCATATCGTTCGTTTTGCTTAATAATGTTGTTGGGATCTGTTTGTTCTTTACAGTTACAGTACGATAAATTACAGTACAGCATAATTCCTCACTTTTGAAAGCGTCCGAAAGCCTTTTGTTTCAAGTGGTCAGATTAGTAGCAATCAATGTCAATGCCTGTACTGTTTTTGGGAATAGTCTTAAAATATAACCACTGTCCTGATGGCGAAAGTAATAATACCATAATAATAATAATAATAATAACTCTTTTCTCTATTGCCCCAGTCACACAGGCACACTTTGTGCACCTCTTTTTTCACATCAACACACAATCTTTCATTGTAGATTATTGCTTTGTGTTTACAATGACAATTTGGTGTGTATTTCTCATGTTTCTATGGTTTGTGAGTGCTCACAATGTGCAGTGTTGTCAGTGGGGTTGTCATTTGGATTTGATAATAGAGGGTTTATGTGAGTTTTTGGCCTGTCTATAAACTCATTTCTATTTCTTGTGATATTTTCATATATGTCGTTCTTTTATAATTGAATTGTAAAGTGCAGAGGTGGATCAGAAGATGTGAAATAAAACTTTGTTTTCTTTTTTCCCATTTCTGTATATCACTGCAATCTTACCTGCACTTTATAAGTGAATTAGTTCAATGTATTTACAACAAATTAAAGGTATTTTGGAAGTAGGAGTTTCTTTTGCCAGCTGGAAGATTTGACTCTTCATTCATTCATCTGTTTTTATCATCTCATTTAACACTGTAATTAGCGGTACATGGTCCGATTGGACTGATGTATGAGAATGTTCGAGTCGATTCCACATTGATTTCTGTCCCAGCAGCTGTCAAAAACAACCTCAGTGCCTATGCATAAAAATAACAGCGTTATCTGCCCTTTTAAAGGGATAGTACCCCTAAAAATGAGTATTCTGTCATTATTGACTCACTTTCACGTTATGACTTACTTTTATGGAACACACAAATTGTTCTTTTGAGTTGAATTTTCAATAAATCAGTTGATTCAATACAGTTCAGAAGGAATTATCCACAATGGACAACTTATGATACTTTCAAGGTTTTTTTTGGGGGGGGGGGGGGGGGTCGTGTTTGTTTTCTTAAAGCTTAAAGGCCGAATGGGTTTGGAACGACATGAGGGTGGATAAATTAGAGCAGAATTTTCACTTTTGGGTGAACTATTCCTTTAAAAACTGCTTCTGCGTTCTCATGTGTTCTTGATGCAGTGCAGCTTACTCAGCAATAGTTGACTGATAAAACGGCATCTCAGCTAAAAGAAAATCACAAATAAAAAAATCCTATTTTCTGATAGGAAATAAACAATGAAAACATCAGAAGCAGTAAGCATGTAAAA